AAAAATAATAATAATAATTCAGAAGATTAAATTTATTTCATGTTCACAGGTGTTCCTGGAAGTGTGAATGTCTTTGTATTTTAAATATTTGAGTATTGTGATATATCCAGTTGCCTGATGCATGCTGGGATAGGCTACTCCCATATGGTCCTAAATAGGAATACATGTGAGTAAGTAAGATGATGAAAATACAATTACTATATAGATTGTAATTATTACTGACACATTGTAAGCAGCGTTGGTAGAGATGGAGCTAATTTGAACCACTTTATATACTGTTGGGTAGTTTAATCTATGACAATGTATCATCTTTCATAAACTCCATATTTGTTTTGTATGTAAAATCTCGTCAATGTAATGCCTAACTTAAGTACAGTACTTGAGTAAATGTACTTAATTACAGTACAAACAATTGAAGTCAAAGTGAAGGATCTTATATGTATATGGAGTCTTGATTGCATTTTTATTCTTATTTATTTTATTTGAATACTTCTTATATATACATGGGTGAATCTGCATGCAGCTTTTATGGTACGTAAAAAATAAATAAAACGTCTTCTGTTAGGCCTCCAACCCATCACGCAGCACCTTGAAACAACACTAATTTCTACTCCTCTTTCAATCATCCCTTTCTTTTTTTTCTCTCTCTCTCATCTCTTCCTCATTCTCTGTTCCTTCTTTCCTATGATCAATGACTTCCAATCCCTGACACCGCTGCTGTCCTCATGAAATATAACGGCTTATTAAGGGACATACATCTCTATGGCCCTATTTGACTCACTGAGCTGCTATATAAATACATAAGGCCATGCCGAGCTATATTTAAAGGTCTGCGAGGCCAACGGCACAGGAAGCAGACACCAGACATTAATAGTTAAAATTCATAAAAGTCAGATGAGGAGGTAAAGATATTCCTGGCTGCCCCGTCTCTTAACCTTCTCAGGGCCCCTCCCTCCATCCCTCCATCATCATCTCAACTCCCTCCTCCCTCCTTGGTCTAGGGCTATTAGAGGAAGGCCGGGGTCTCTCCTTACCCCTCCTCTCCCTGTCTCTCTCAGTCCTTTGCTCATTCTCTCACTTTCTCTCTCTCTGGAGGAACTGACACTCAAATTAGTGTGAGGTTTCTGTAGAAATGGGTCAGCACCTACAACAGTGGGATCAGGCCAGGTGTGTGTGTGTGTGTTTGAGAGAGAGAGATGAGGAGGGAGAAAGAGAGCCCGAGAAAGAGAGAGAGCGAAAGGGAGAGAACTCAATGTGTGTGATCATGAGCAGTATGTGCGTCTCTGTAATGAGGCTTTAGAACGGCTGGATGTGGCTCTGCCAGGCTAAGTGGGGCCGACTCTCCATGTGCCATGTTGGAGGTGAGAGAATTGTTTAGAGCTGAGAGGGAAAGAGAGAGTGGGAAAGAAGGAGAGAAAGAGAGCAGTAGGAAAGTGTCTCATAAAGGACAGAAACAGCCAATAACTGTCAAATCAGTCATATCTTTAGGAGCTGAGAAAAGTCAGCTCTAAAATGAGTGCAAGTGTGTGTGTGTGTGTGTGTGTGTTAGTGTCTGTCTTTCATTCATTCATTTCTACATTCTGCATACAAGTGCCAAATGTAGGCCTTCAAAGTGAATCCAAATGTTTCAAATAACACTGCAAAATCTGCCTGAAAGTTGTTTCTTTCGTTGTGGTCTAAGAAGTCTCAGCAGGCAACCGTATGGGTTAGGGGCTTCATCAGTGGGCACAGACCACAATTACTTTGCAGTCAGTTAGATCAGCTTTTATCCAGTCAGAGTTGTATACCACATTTTAGTTTCAGTCCAAATATTGTGCTCTGACAGAATCAGCTTTTAACCAGTCAGAACCGCAGTCAGAACTTTTATTTTCTATGCTGCTGCTCGTTTTCACCATCATCTAAGTAAGAAAGTACTGTATGGGTTAAATTATTACTTCAGAGTTTGAGGATTCCAGTGATGTTCACACTTAGTTTTTACATTTAGAATTTGCATTAGTTAGCCAACAAAATGTCCTGAGAAGGACAAAGGTCAAGGGAGAGTGTGTATATTTTAAGCTTTTACCTTCCATGTGGCTGTGTTTCTCCTGAAATAGGCAAACTTTCGTGTAAACCAGTTGTAGATCTCATTGAGAGTCAACTGTCTGTCTGGGGACTCCAGAATGGCCTGAGGATGGGAAGAGATACAACAAGATTTAGAGGAGAACACAGATAGAGAGAAGAGATGTAGAAAACGGAGCATTGGAGAGACTTACATGACGTATAAGAGAGGCATAGGTAAAGGGAGGCCTGACATCAGCGTTCTTGTAGAACTCACAGTTCTGTGCCAGCTCTGGAAAAAAAGTAATGACAGTTTTACATTAGCTGACGTGAACTTTATATATCTGTGAATTTTGAGTGTGTAGTGTATAAAATGTATTCCAAATTTAAATGTTAAAATAAAGTGGTATTTTTTAATTAAATATAATATATATATATTTTTAAATCCATATAAGAATATGGAGGTAAAAATTTAAATTATCAAGCAGTCTGATATCCTTCTGCATACCAAATATTAAGCAAAATATAATATTTTTTATTTTTCATTACAAGCCAATCATATATTCCTTACTTTTTTTTTTACCATTTGAAGACTTGCTACACTGAGCTGAATAAATGTGAATGAATGTGACTTCATTCTATGCCATACACTTATATTGCTTGGATACCTTGAATTCAAATCGAGGCTACAATTTTCTTTAAGACATGAATAAAATTGATTTCTGAATTAAAACATACTCTATTGCTCTTTCAGGGAAAATTATGCAGCAACAGCAACAAGTACTGTAAGAAAAACCTAAAGCAGTCAGCAACACTGGAGCCCATTATATATCAATAATTAGACAATACATAATAATAATGACATAAAAAGTCAGGTACTGGGTGAGTGTATGTTACAGTCTACCTGAGGCGATGGGGGTGCAGTACTTGTCGGAGTTGCGCCTACGTATGGGCCCAACACCGTGCGTGTGGGAGTGAGAGTGTGTGTGCAGGCTGGAGGAGCTGATGACCGAGGGTCCCTGGCGCAGTGGGGTGATGGGGGTGGCAGCTGAGGTGGGGGGGTGCGGAAGACCCTCTGGGTAGGCCTCGCTGTCTCGCTTTAACAGAGCGCCACTGGAAGCCAGGTTCAGCTAGAGACGGAAAGACACACACACAGAAATTAGGATGATTAATGGAGCTTTTATACCTGAAAAGGAGGTTTAATTGTGATTCTGCCTGTAAAATCAACTGAAAAAGTTTATATTCTGCACCTTTAAATAGCTTACAAAAATATATATTTAATTTTATTGAAATATCCTATACTCATATAACTTACTTTACTTTGGTTTAATAGTGTTAGTAATTAATCTATTTATATCATGGAGACTGATGCCAACATGAAAAGGTGAGAATCTTTATTTTACATGTATTGAGGGTGGAGAATTGTTTTAGTGCAGGGACATAAAATGGAGTTTCTATATGACTAATGCTTCCCTCGTGTTTACTTTAAAGCTTCACCATCTGCTGAGTGCGGCTGCTGTTTACAGAGAAGCATCATCTACACAAGATAGGATCAGGGTCAGGTGATATCAGTGCATTAGACAATGCTTTTGTGTCATATACATAACACATCTCCTCCATGAAAGTGTTTCAAAACTGTTTTGTCTAGTAGTTGTTTAAGAATATTTGTACATTTGAGGTTGTAACTGAAGTGAACGGGCCACAAGCCTTCTACTTTTAAGTACAGGGCGCTACTAAGATCTATTCACATTACATTAAAAAAAAGACCCCCAACATGACCTATGAATTTCTCTACATTTACCCAAATGCAACCAGCATTCTCGCGCAGAACCACACACACTCGTACACACTGAACACATATACACACAGCGCTGGCTGCAATTAACCCTGCGCTTACAAATACAAAACCACACGACAGCATGTTTGTAAGAAGGGAACACACACATGCACTCTGCGGTGGCAAAGTCTTCACGGACCAATACGGCCCAATTAGGCAGAGCCTTGCACACACATGCACACAAATACACACACACACACACACACACACACACACACAGAACCAATGCTCCCAGTCTCTCTGGGAC